TCATTTTGCATTTAACCGTTGTAGAAGCGAGTTGCAGAGACTAACTTATAGTAGTGGCAAGACGAATAATTCTAAACGAAATTTATGAGGCGTGGTTACATCGCTTGCAGCAGCATATCGTCAAGGGAAGTAAATATGGAATTTTATAATTTGAAATCTTCTTTCTCACGAAAATCCGTGCATAATATGTCAAAACAACAACGAAGCAAAATTATGAAGCAGGTTAGGAAAAATATACGTTCGCTGTTTTGTAAAAAATGTGGCACTTCTATAGGGTCGAATATGAATAGTTGTGATATTGAAGATATTCCCAGTCCGTCAGTTGGCTTTGTCGCGGATGATGCTAATGTTATCGATTATAGATGTGATGTACAAAATAATTTTGATGAGTCTTCTTCTTCCCCTTCATCGTTTGTTTCGAAATCATCGTCAAGTTAAATATGCTCCAGGACAACAAAGCAAGAGCTCATTAATACAGTTCAAAACACGCATATATCTCTCCTGTACTAACCGCGTTGTCGATATCAGATGACGAACCCCCCCTTTTCGCGACCCGAAAGCTGTCGATCGCTCATACCTTCCGCGTGCGAAAGATTGGTTCGCTGCCCGAGCCATATCGATATAAATCAATAATATTTATTCGTGGTGAGTGAGAACATGTCCGAGCCGTAACGCGAAACGAACCAAACGTTGTTATCGTTGGATATCATCATTGTCTCGCCACGAAAAATTACCGGAATCCGTTTCCCAAAATCGTTTCCTTTGGTGTACTGCGTGCGATAATTACCGATATAGGAGTTTTGTTTGCTGGCCAGATGTTTTTCCGTGATTAGCAGCGAGATCTTCTTGACGTTGAGCAGAGTGTAAGCTACCAAGACACGCCTTTGAACAAGTGCATCAATTATTATCTCGCGAGTATCGCTTATCGCCCGCCTCACATCTAATTTAATGCGAGACAACAATAAACGGCAATTTGTTATACCAAAGAGAGTCAACGTTATTACAACCGCCTTGGCGAACGAGCCTTCCTGACAAGGTGACTCCATCACAACATATTTTTGGTCCTTTGAGCCGGATTCGTCGCCAAGGAGAGTTCTCGTTTTTCGCTTGATTCTCGTCCGAGTTGTGCCGTTACCGTTGGAAATTATGTCGGCTCTCGATGAACTGATGAGTCTACAAAACCAGCACATGGGCGTCAAATCTCGCAAGCTTCTTAATTTTAAGAAGTTGGGACAAGCCAAAATGACACGTGCCGTAACACGGCACGCCTTGCAACCCTCAAGAAGACCTTCGCCAGATGCCAAGAGCTAGACAGTAAAATCACGTTAGCTACGGACGAGAAAGTGAGGGCATCCCTTGCGTACTTCATCCAGAACTACTTCCTGACGTGTGAAGATTATTACAACGAAGCTGCCGACTACATGGCTGAGGTACTGGACGGTCACGAGGTTCACGAACCCCAATCCGCTGCACATGACGTAAGTGACCGTAATCATTCGTTCCGATCATTGTCGCATCTTCCGAGGATCAACTTGCCGACCTTCGACGGGAGTTTCGATAAATGGGAAAGTTTTCGCGATAAATTTACATTGATGATCCATGATGATCAAACTTTAACGAATGTCGAACGCATGCATTATCTATGTTCCTGTGTAAAGGGGGATGCAAGTAACGCCCTAGACCACCTCGCGGTAACTAATGATAATTTCAATATCGCGTGGAATATTCTCGTATCCCGGTACGACAATAAACGTCGCCTTATCACTATACATTTAAAATCGCTTTTCAATTTACCGTCGATCACGACAGAAACTTCCAAAGATTTGCGCACGCTTCGCGATCAAACGAATAAAGCGATACAAGCTCTAAGCAACCTCGGTCGCGCTACCGAACATTGGGATGATTGGCTTGTTTTTCTCGTGTCACAAAAACTCGACAGGTCATCGCGAAAAGCTTGGGAACTTAAACTCGGCGATACCGTAGACTATCCGCGTTATCGCGAAATTGATCAGTTTTTTGCATCGCGCATTCGCGCGTTCGACGCGATTGCACCCGCGAACGCATCGGAGAAGTCACCGCCGACCTCCAAGAAGAGAACTTTCGCCTTGCATACCGCGACTACCACTCCGTTTTCATGCGCATTATGCAAAGCGAACCATCTACTGTATCAATGCTCTACGTTCCTAAAGCAAACTCCATCCCAACGGTTTGAATTTATTAAAAATCAGAAACGCTGTATAAACAGTTTTACTGCAAAGCACTCCGTCAACGATTGTACGAGTCTACGCACTTGTCGACAGTGTGGCAAACGGCATCACACGTTTCTGCACTTCGATCATGCTGCTCGACCGGTTGACGCTACGTTGCCGTCGACGCCCGCACCTTCGAGTAGCGAGAGCGTCACCGCTGTCGCTACACATTTATTGTCGAAAACCGTAGCGCCAAGCTTCAACATTTTACTCGCGACCGCACGCGTGCGAGTTTATTCGCCGCATAACCGTTTCGTCACCGCGCGCGCGCTTCTTTATCAAGAATCCGTCTCTACATTCATCTCGGAGTCACTTGCACAACGCTTACGCCTTGCAAGAATTAATCGCTTCGTTTCTCTCACCGGTATTAGCGAAATGCGATCTGTCGTGCGTTATGCGACCCAAATGACGATTACTCCGGCGTGTCGCGACGGATCTGCCTATATCACTGCCGCCTTTATACTTCCGTCTTTAACGAAGTATTTACTGAATCGAGTCGAGATCGCGTATAATTGGAAACACGTCGCAGAACTCGAACTTGCGGATCATGATCCCATGAGTTCGGATCCAATCGATATCATTATCGGTGCCGATCTCTTCGGCAAGCTCGTTCTCGACGGTGTGCGAAGGGGTTCCGAACATGAGCCTACCGCGCAAAATACCACTCTCGGCTGGATCCTGTCTGGACCGATAGCCTCGGTGCCGCATACTAACTCAGTTTCCGCTCTCGCGCATCACGGAGTCGTTATTGAAAATCTCGATTGCGATCTTCGTCGCTTCTGGGGAATTGAGGAAGTGCCTCAGAAAGCTTCTCGGAGCCCTGAGGAACACCAGTGCGAAGAGCACTTTAAAGCTACTCATTCTCGTACATCGGAAGGACGCTATATCGTCCGATTGCCCTTTAAAACCGAGCCACCAATCTTGATAGGCGAATCGCGCTCGATTGCTGTTTCAAGCTTTCGCCGCTTGGAACAACGCCTAAGTCGAGACCCACTTAACGCTTCCGAGTACCGCGAATTTCTCGCAGAGTACAAAACCCTCGGTCACATGATTAAATGCCCACCGACAGAAATTGTCAAACCAGGGCAAACTTGTTATATTCCGCATCACGCTGTCTTACGTGACAGCAGTGCAACAACCCGCTTACGAGTAGTCTTCAACGCGTCATGTCGCACGTCAAACGAGACGTCGTTGAACGACCATATGTTCATAGGACCTAAGCTTCAAAAGGATTTAGCCACTGTCTTAATGCAGTGGCGTCAATATCGTTACGTATTTACCGCTGACATCGCAAAGATGTATTGGCAAATCCTAGTTGACTCCCGAGATATCGACTACCAACGTATTGTGTGGCAACCAACTCCAGGTGAACCCATAACGGATTACCGTCTCCTCACCGTTACCTATGGTACAGCAGCCGCTCCATACTTAGCCTTTCGGGTTCTAGCTCAGCTCGTCGAAGATGACGAGGCCGAATTTCCGCTCGCGGTTCCCGTTTTACGTCATCAAACGTATGTTGACGATTGTGCTTTCGGCGCAGACGACCAAATTCTTGCTCGTCAGACCCGCGATCACTTAATAGCATTATTAAAGAAAGGAGGCTTTTGCCTTCGAAAATGGGCAAGCAATGCCACCTCGTTATTGTCCGATCTCGATCCCGCGGATTATGGATTAGCTACGCACAAGGTGCTTCAAGACGACGAGCATCTCAAGATTTTAGGCATATTTTGGAATCCGAAGCTAAATATTTTTCAATTCCGCGTAACCGTACCGAACATACCCGGATGCACCAAACGAGCCATTTTGTCGACCATCGCCAAGTTTTTCGATCCCTTAGGATGGGCTACTCCTGTCAGTATTACCGCAAAGATTTCTTTGCAACGATTGTGGTCACTCCAATGTCAGTGGGATGATAAAATTCCCAGCCAACTTCTTGATTACTGGTCGGATTACCATCAACGACTTCCATGTCTCAACGCCATTAGCATTCCGCGCTGGACAACTTACGGCTCTCATACTCTACATTGTGCCCTTCATGGGTTTTCCGACGCCTCAACTGCAGCTTTCGCAGCGACAGTATACCTGCGCATCGTCAACGTAGACGGCTCCATCACCGTCTCTCTTCTCGCCGACAAATCAAAGGTGGCTCCTCTTAAAACGATAATCCCACGATTGGAGTTATCCGCTGCGTGGCTTCTCGCGCGCTTGATGCATTTCGCACGAGCAGCGCTCCAACTCCCGAATCTCGAGTGCCACTGCTGGACGGAATCCACCATTACCCTCGCCTGACTCAGTCAATCTCCTTCTCGATGGAAAACCTTTGTCGCTAATCGTGTTTCGGCTGTGCAGTCCCTCCTCCCTGGAGTCTCATGGCGTCACGATCCGACGCACACCAATCCCGCGGACTGCGCGTCACGCGGTCTCGCTCCCGATCTGTTCGAAACTCATGCCTTATGGTGGTCCGGCCCTCCATGGCTACACCACTTTTCCGAATCTTGGCCAAACTTCTGCCCTCCGATATCCGCTGATGTTCCTCTCGAACAACGCCCGAACCCACCGGGATATGCCTTGCATGCTACGTGCAATTGGGATCTCGCGTCGCGTTACTCTTCATGGCCACAACTGCTACGTATTACCGCTTACCTGTACCGCTTTCTCAGTCGACTCCGACGCTCTAAAAACCCACCACAGACCTCCGCGACTTTGCTTCCCGAAGAAATTCAGAAGGCAAAATGTTACTGGCTCAAAACCATGCAATCAGACATGTTCCTTCACGAGATCGTTGCTCTTAGCCAGAAGCGATCGGTGCTGAAGAGCAGTCCGCTGTCTGTTCTTAATCCTTATATGGATGAACAGGGACTCATTCGAATTCGAGGAAGACTCCGTCGAGCTTGCTTACCAGGAGCGATGAAGAATCCCGTCGTATTACGCTCGCATCCGCTGTTGGTGCTCATTATCCAGCATCATCATCTGAGAACGTTGCATGCCGGTTCACAATTAACGCTCACGTCATTGCGGAACGAATTTTGGATTCTCC